GGACAGAAAGAACAAGTGTATCAACAAATTTTGTTTCTTTGTATCTTTGTGCAAAGGAAAAAATATATGAAGGATACAAGAAGAGGAAAACGGAATCGGTCAAGGTGGGGGATATATATTTGGAACTACATTCTGACGTCATGGACACAAGCAAAAAGGAAAGAAGCCAAAGCGTATATGTTTTAAATATTCTTGAGTGGGTCTCTTTCTAAAAAGGCCTAGGCATTCTTACTTATAAAAGGACCTCCTACGGACAAGAAAAGGGTTCTCTCTTTTGGATAGACAACACACGAAAAGCTGCTTCAACACACTCGAGGTGAGAGAGAGATTGTTGCAAGTTCACAAGAGACAAAAAGCTTGGGCGTTCAGCAAAGCAAAAAACACCAAAGAAAGGTTCCTGGGCTTTCTTCAGCAAGCATTGGACTTTCCGGGGGAAGGACACTAGAAGTGCCAAAAGTTGTGTACAGCGCTCACTTTGGTGCCAAAAGTTTCATTTGGATCATTTAAGTGTTAAAATTTTTGAAAAACGATCACTTAAGTGCCAACTTCGGTCAGTTTGGCCGGAAATCCGACGTGGCAATTTTTTTATTAATTTCTGAAGCCGATGTGACTCGCCAGAGATACAATCAGCACGTACAGTTAGCATTTTTTATTTTAAATAATTTTTTTTCTTTTCTTTCTTTTTTCCTTCTTTTCTTTTCTTTCTTCTCCCTTTGGTCACCACCGGTGACCGGAGGCCGGCCGCCTGGCCTCTCCCGGACGAGGCCGTCACCGCTCGCCACAGGCGAGGCCCGCCGACCCTCGCCCGGGTGACGGCGGCGACGCGCCCGGCGGGGCCGCCGTGGCCCGGGCGACGGCCGCCTCGCCGGATCTGGCGAGGGAGCCCTTGCCCGGGCTCGCCTCGCCCATGTGAGGCGAGGCCGACCTCGCCGGGCTTGCCCGCCGTCGCCCGGGCGGGGGTCGGCCGGGCCTCGCTTGTGGCGGGTGGCGGCGGCCTCGTCCGGGCGAGGCCAGGCGGTCGGTGGCCGGCCTCCGGTCACCGGTGGTGACCAAAGGGAGAAGAAAGAAAAGAAGAAAAAAATTCAGAAAAGTATTTAAAAAATCGAAATATATACGTGGAAATGCCACGCTGACTAATTTTTTTTAAAAAAAAATCCATCTAAGATTAAAAATTTAATTATAAAAGCCACGTATTAATTTGGCCGGAATTTCTCGCCGTTGGCACTTAAGTGATCGTTTTTCCTCCGATATGACACTTAAGTGAGCCGGTGAAAATTTTTGACACTAAAGTGAGCGCCGTACACAACTTTTGGCACTTCTAGTGTTTTTCTCCCGACTTTCCAGTGACATCCCTGCATTACGAGTTGAGGCGGCGACCTGTTGTTTCCTTGCTCGAGCCACGATATCACCACGTGTCTCCGCTCCGAACTGGCTACGACTTTGCTGCCCGCGAATCCACTTCGAGCGATCAGCCGTGCTGTCTTGTGTTGCTAATTGCTTCACCAAAATTCTTTTTTCACAGGTTGCCCAAGTCGCTGTCCTTGCGACGTACCGAGCATCGATCCTTGAATCGCTGGCCGTGAACTGAAGTTCCTCATCACTGCGCTCCGTGAGCATTCTTGTCGTCGGCATACCGCAAGTCCATCGTGATCCGCAATCCGGATCCGTCGTCCGTCCGAATTTGGAAACGCTATTCGAGCAATATCGCGGATTAGGTAAGAATTTTCATTATTCAATTTTCATATATTTTGTTGCCTAATTTGTGAAATTGCAATCTTGTTTAAATCTTTGAGTAATATTACAATATCCATGAAAACTCCCAAGTACCCTTAAATTAGGAATTATTTCTTAATTTTGCAACATGCTATGGTCGATAGTCCGATTTCATGCCCAAAATATGACTTGCGATCGCACGGAAAATCGTCAATCCGATCTTTCGCCCGAGATATGATTCGCGATTGTGCGGAAGATTGACCAATCCGATCCTCATGCCCGAGATATGATTTGTCAATTTATTGTTTCTAAATTTAAATGGATATGGATAATATTTCTTGTGATTGGGTGTCGTGTTCATTTTATTTCTTTTCATATTTTGTTTGAATTGAATTGATTGTTTTTCCATTAAAAAAAATACAAAAAAGATTAGGTAAAATTTGAGTAGATAATATATTGCATGTTCAGGTTAAATTTTGATTATTTTCTTAGAATAGATTAGATTCTTTTCTTAGATTTTAGTATTACATGCTTAAATTAGGTTAATTATTTATTTCGAATTTAAATTAAAAAAATATAAAAAATACCACATGCATGTCATATTAGAGTAGTTGCATTTTAATTAATTCTCATCATTAGAAATCTCACGTCTAGGTTCATTTGCGTGCCATATTAGAGATTGTACATTTAATTGTTGTTAGAATTAGGACATTTAAATAAATCGTATGTCGCATGTCATACTAGACGAAGAATGCATTGCATAATTTTTTTTTTTTTTGATAATCGAGGTGTCCGCGCGGCCGGCGAGCTAGGGCTCAAACCAGCGGTGATGCCCGACTAGTCCTCGAGGGGGGCTAGCGCAGCATCCCACCGCCACGACCCCCACTTAAATCACCGATGGGCGAATTTGAACCCAGGACCTCTCGTGAAAGGAGCTGGGCGCAAACCAACGCGGCCACCGATGGGTGGGTTGCATTGCATAAAGTTTAGTTTTTGTTAAATCAAAGAAAACCCTAAAAAAGATTTGAGTGAAATTGTATGTTAATTAGAAATCATATTAGGATTGCCAATGTGATTTTCTAACTAGCATTGCAAATGCTTTTGTTGCCTTAAGTTAAGTGTACCTTCCCTATCATGTAATTTATTTATTGCTTTACTTTATTGGGTGTTTCATTAATGGCTGCGCATCAGCATGATCACCTCGCATGTTAGTAGATAAATTTAAAATCAATCCAAGCTGCCTGCAAATATTTTTTTTTTTGAAATAAAAGAGAAAAGGTACCGAAAGTGCATTAGAGTAATCTAGTGTAATCAAGTCCCCAAATCCATAATCTCTGATTCGTAGGAGTAAAGTAATTGTTCCAATACTTTACTTGGGTTTCTAATCGACCCACAAAAAAATAGATTAGTGGCGACTCCTGATTGAAATGATTTGCATGTTAAGAACTTAAACCTTAAGACGCGAATTGGTAGGGCTTGGGAGGACCCGAGTTATGCTTAGACTTAATAATCCATTAGCCGAACCCCTACATGGTGCACCCCGCAGGAGGTTAGGTCGCAACAGGGAATAATTTTAAACTTTTACTTTTTGTATATTCTTGAAATTTGAGAGAAAAAAACGCGTTTTCTTACAAGAAATATAGTTTCATTTCTTTCGGACCATGTTTTGATTTTGGTCTGGTCCACGTGGAAAGAGTGAAAATAACAAATTAAACTTTTTTAACTATTTTCACTCATAAGATCTTTTCTTAATTCTTTTTTTTTTTGCCCGGGATGGCTTGACTGATTCTCATGACATGTATGATAAATTCGATTCATCTACTACCTTTGAACAAGGGAGACGATTTATATCACTTCAGTAACCTATGAGATTCACTGCAAAGTTGAACCAATGAAAGTCGCAACCTTGATTTACTCTAGGAGCAAACTCAAAAGGGCTTAAGGGTTCCGTCTGTACAGAAAATTGACGGCTACAGTCCGAATGTATAGACCTGATAAATGAGATTTGTTGGACCATGTGAACTCCAAATGGGACCTACATGATCAAATGGATTATATGCACGGGTCTAATGCACTATGTATGTACCAATTTTGTCATCAATACTTGGGTCATTAGGTGCTCAGTGCTAGTCATTAAGAACATCCTATGTCAATTGAATATTTTTTTTAATCTTGCATTCTTATGATAAAGATTTAGCAAAATGTCTTTTATCTTGCCTTACCACACGTGATTCTGCATCCATGTTAATTTTCGAAGGACCCCACCAACCACACAAATTTTCATTGAATAGAACTTAAAAATCTTAAGAACTAAATAGGCCTGAAATGTTCTTGATGGGCTGGGCAAGCTGTGAAATGATGATGAATAAGAGTGAGCTGGTTGAACGTGACCATGTGTAGTGTGCTTCGATAACATGAAAGTAGTTCTCAAAATAAAAACATTGTAGGAAAGATTTCATTCACATAGTTGACGTATAAGATAATTAGATTTCTGACCAAAAACAAAAATAATTAGATTGAATGCCAATAAAGAAAATGATGATTATATTGGATTATATTGGATTATTTCTAGAGCAGAGTGGCTTGTTGCTAGACGAGCTTATCGAAACTCAAAACCACAATGCCCAATAGGATGACATTGCTCAATAAAATCTTTGAGAGACCTAACTTTATACACTGCCTCCACTAAAATTTGAGGTAATAAAATGTAAACAAACTTATGAGTTTGACTCTGCAGGCTCTTATTTTTGTTGTTAGTGTTCATAGTTTTCGCCATAATCAGTGGCTTTCAAGCAAGCAATGGACTCTCCACCACTCGTTTATGTCTCTTCATTTAAGCAAAGACTGCACTCCTTTCCTACACAATTGTGGACAGAGATATTGAGTGGCTTGTTGATGTCTGTTAAAATGGCGAACCATACAAGCTCTCCCAGCAAATGCAAGACTTTGACCCACAGTCGCTCGCTCGCTTCATATCACCGAAAGCCGGTCAATTCGGGGTGATCCATCGGTCAGTTTCCATCTCCATGGTCATTATCCGAGGCCCTCTAGGACCACTGCAAATTTTTCCACCGACTGGCAAATAACTGGAGCAATAGATTAAGTCAAACCGTGTGGACCCTTCTTGTTCGGAAGATAGCAGTGGTACCCATCACAAGACTAAATTATTCCATTGGCTTTAGCAGAAAACAAGGAACCATCATAGAAGCTGCTTGACCCATGAGCGTTTGCCGTGTCCCGTAAGCCGTCGCGTATTCTCTGGTTCGTTATAAAGACCCTGATATAACATATTGATCTTGCAGTTTGGGTGATCCAATTCCGACCAAAGCCCGGATTTAGAATGCCGCGCGCCACTCCCCGTGCTCTTCCTTTGCGCGCTCGCTTGTTCTTGTTCTGCCTTGTCTGCTGTCCTTTCATTCCCTCTGTTGCTCCTCTGTCCTTCAATATAGACAGCTTCGACACGGATTTGAGCGACATATTGTACGAGGGAGTTGCGGAACTCGCCATCCAGGGAGTTGATCTCACCAAACTCTATCCTCGGCAACCCTACAAGGTGGGCCGGATTCAGTATGCCAAGCCCGTCCCCATATGGGATCCTGTCACGGGGCGCCAAGCCGACTTCTCAACCTATTTCTCGTTCACCATCGAGACTGACGGTTCTGCTCACTACAGCGATGGCCTGGCCTTTTTCCTCGCTCCTGTGGGGTTCCCAATCCCGCCCAACTCGGAGGGCGGATTCCTGGGATTGTTCAACGCTAGCACGGCGAAAGAGAGGCATCAGAACCGGATAGTCATGGTCGAGTTCGACACTTATGTGAACCGAGATTTCGATCCCCCCATGCATCACATAGGAATAAATATAAACTCGCTCTCATCGGTCGTTCATGACAGCTGGAATCCCGCAAATCACAGCGGGAAAGCGACTGATGTTCTCGTGACCTACAATTCTACGAGCAAGAACCTCAGTGTGTTCTGGTCGTTCGACGACAAAAAAACCTATACCCTGCTTTCTTACCTAATCGATCTCGCGAGTGTCCTTCCCAAATCAGCAGCAATCGGATTTTCAGCTTCTTTTGGCTTCCATGTAGAGAGACACAGCATCAATTCATGGAAGTTCACTTCGAATTTGGAGGTGAACTCGAAACCTCGCTGGCTAAGGATACCGGTCGTGGTTCCTGTGGCATGTTTTTTACTGGTGATCTTTGCAGGGTCTTGCTTTTTTTCGGTCAAGAGGGGCGAAAAATATGGTTTCCGTGCCCTCACCGACATCGCCCTCACCGACATCGATAAAGAGATTGGCGCATTGCCTGCGAAGTTCACTTATCAGGAGTTGCTCGTGGCGACCAACGGCTTCGCAGACGATAGAAAGCTCGGCCAAGGTGGGTCTGGCCAAGTCTATAAAGGGTTCTTGAGACATTCAGACCGCCTGGTCGCCGTCAAAAGGATCTTTGCGGAGTCCCGACACTCCGAGAAGGTCTTTGTCAACGAGGTGAAGATCATGAGCCGAACGATACACAGAAACCTGGTGCCGTTTGTTGGGTGGTGTCGAGAGGAAGGTGAGTTCTTGCTTGTCTACGATTACATGCCCAACGGCAGCCTCGATCACCACCTCTTCGGGGCCCGGAGAAGACTGCCGTGGGACGTGCGGTACAGCGTGGCGCTCGGCCTCGCGTCCGCCCTCAACTACCTCCACGAGGAGCTCGAGCAATGTGTGCTCCACCGCGACATAAAGGCAGCCAACGTGCTGCTCGACACCAACTTTACCACCAAGCTTGGCGACTTCGGAGTGGCCAAGCTCGTTGACCCCCGGTTCAGGACTCAGACGACAGACATGGTCGGGACTTGCGGGTATCTAGCGCCAGAGTACTTCATCGGAGGGAAGGCCACGAAGGAGTCCGACATGTTCAGCTTCGGTGTTGTGGCCCTGGAGATCGCGTGTGGCCGGAGGAGCTACGAGGACGGAGAGATCCAGGTCCCGCTGCACAAATGGGTCTGGCAACTCTACCTCGCCGGCAACATCCTAGGCGCGGCCGATGAAGCGATGTGCTCGGGGTTCCAGAGGGAGGAAGTGGAGTGCCTGATGATGGTGGGGCTGTGGTGTGTGCACCCAGACCCTGCGAGACGGCCGAGGACAGGGCAAGTGATCAGGTTCCTCCGGCTCGAGGACTCGGTCCCGGAGCTCCCACACAGCGCTTTCGACGGCCCAGTTTCGTATCGGCCATCGGCTTCGCAATTAGGAATGATGGAATCTCCATCTGCTCCTATTCCGGAATCTGTCTATTAAGTAAGACAAATCTGCCTCCTAAAGTCATGCAGCAACACATGTTGACTTAATCTGCACATACCACTTCATATACTTTGCTTCGGTTACAATCTCTTTTGCCTTGCCCAAATCGGAGGCTGGAGCTCGACTACATCACGGGGACTTAGTAGCACTCAATACACATTGCTTATATTCAAATGAACAAGGCACTGCGAAAAGAAAATTTCAGTTAACTCCGATGTCTTGTCTTGGTTGTAGTGAGGCTGCTTCGGAGGAGTGTAGGCTCTTTCCACCGGATAGTCGAAGAGACGATGTACCTGACAATGTTACTCGTTCATCATAGCTCCGCCACTGCTGCTGTTGGAGATAATTAGGGATTTCTCAAGGATAATTTTCTATGTTAGAGGTATTTGATAATTATCTCGATCCTATGTTATCTCTTTCAAGATCGCACGTACACCTCCCTTTGATTGTGCATATTTTGATCGATATATGTTTCCTTAGCCTATAAATAAACCGATATACTCTTCGTTACGAGATATCGAAATATACAGAAAAATTCTCAAATTCACATTGAGGAAATTCTCCAATTCATTTTTTTAACTACTGCTATGGCTGACATCTTGGCATTTTTATCCTGAAAATAAAACACTCCTCTTTTGAGTTTGCGCGATCTTAAAGGCTAAGATGCACCAAATTCACATGAACTCGAGGCACCCAAAAATATTTCTTACCGGCATTGAAGGCTCGCACATATGAGAGTGAGTATAAATGTGCGCTGGGTCCACATTGTACTTCAATGTTTTTTTTTTTTTATCACAAAGGCGCATGTGAATTAAAATTTCATTATAAAAGCCATGTAAGACAAACTGTTAGAATGTATCGCCGGAAGCACTTAAGTGATCGTTTTTCCTCCGATGTATCACTCAAGTGATCGTTTAAAAAAATTTGGCATTGAAATGAATACTGTAGAAAAATTATGGCACATTTCCTAATGTAAAAGTTACTCTAAATAGACCATTTTATGTAAGTTCCACGTGTCTTTTTTTTTTAATTTGTTTTCGCCAGGAATGGATTGTTCAGGACTCCTGAAGTATCCGATCGATTCCCATCACAAGCGCGATGAATTCGATTCATCACGCACCTTTAAACAAGTCAGTAACTTTCAAGGTACATTGTGAAGTTTAAACAATGAAAGTGTCAACCTTAATAGCGCAGGAGCAAACTCAAAAGGGCATATGGTACAGAACTTGTAGACCCAGTGCACGATATTTGTTGGATCATATGAACTCCAAATGGGACCTAAATGATCCTGCAGATTCCATGCATGGGGTCTAATGCATCGTGTGTCTGCAGCAATTGCCCCATCAATACTTGGGCCATCAGGTGTCTAGTGCTAGTCATTAAGGACATCCCGTGTCATTGCATAGTTTTCTTGATCTTGGATTCTTAAGATCAAGATTATGCAAAATGTTTTTACCCTTCCCTATCACGCAAGATTCTGCATCTGTTAATTTTCAAAGTATTACCAGCCACACATTTTCATTGAATGAAACTTAAATATCTCAACGACCAAATAGGCCTGTAATGTTCTTGATGGGGCTGGGCAAGCTGTGATTGACCTTGATGATCAATAAGAGTAAGATGATTGACCTTGACCATATCTCGTGGGCTACGATCACATGAAAGAAATTCTCAAAATACAACATTGTCGGAAAGATTTCATGCACATTTTTGACAAATAAGATAATTAGATTGCATGCCAATAAAAAAATGATGATTAGATTGGATTATTTCCGGAACGAATTGGCTCGTCGCAAGTCGAAGTTTTCGAAATTCAAAATCAAAATGCTCTAGAGGAGGATATTATTGGATAAGATCTTTGACAGACCCAACTGGATAAAGCGCCTCCATTAATATTTGAATTGAAAATATGGAAAAAAGAACTTATGAGTTTGACTCTGTAGCTCCTTTTGTCGTCAGTTTTCATAGTGTCCATATAATTAGTGGCTTGAAAGCAATGGACTCTCAACTGTCAACCGCTCTTTAAGTCTCTGCAAGTTGCAATTCATCTATCCAAAGCTTGCAATCCTTTCCTACACAAATTCTAGATAAACATTTTTTTTGGGGTCAGAATTTCTATATAGACATTGGGTGGTTGGTATGATAATGTCCGTAAAAAAGGTGAACCAAACAAGCTCCCCCCTCACTTTTGAAATATAAACATCCGACTTATTACAGTGTCACCTAAGGTAAAAACCATAACCCGGAGTGCTCTTCCTATTGTCCAAATCAGCACCCAGATCTATATTGACAACGTCTTATAAAGTCACATTATTTTTCATGAAATAAAGCTCCATACCTGAAGTACCTCTCGGGTATCTTATTAGCCACTTCACGGCTTTCCAATGCCTTATTCCTGGATTAGTCATATATTTGCTCACAAATCCCGTTGCATCACTTATGTCTGGTCTGGTATGCGCCATAGCATGCATCGAGTTGCTAACAGCTAATGCATAAGGCACTTCAGCTGTGTACTCCCGATCCTCATTGATTTCATGCACATAGTTGACGAATAAGATAATTAGATTGGATGCCAATAAAGAAAATGATGATTATAGATTATTTCCAGGGCACAATGGCTTATTGCTAGACGAGCTTATTGAGATTCAAAACCACAATGCCCAAAAGGATGACATTGCTCGATAAGCTCTTTGAGAGACCCAACTTCATATAATGCCTCCACTAATGAGGTAAAAAAATGTAAACAAACTTATGAGTTTGACTCTGCGGCTCTTAATTTTGTTGTTAGTCTTCATAGTTTTCACCATAATCAGTGGCTTTCAAGCAATGGACTCTCCACCACTCTTTAAGTCTCTTCATTTAACCAAAGCCTGCAGTCCTTTCCAACACAGTTGTGTACAGAGATATCGAGTGGTTTGATGATGTCTGTAAAAATGGCGAACCATACAAGCTCTCCCAGCAAATGCAAAACTTTGATCCGCAAGTCGCTTCCTCGCTCAGCTTCATATTGCCGAAAGCCGGTCAATTCGGGGCGATAGATCGGTTGGTTTCCATCTCCACGGTCATTGTCCGAGGCTCTCTAAAACACCCGCAAATTTTTCCACCATTTAGCAAATAACCGGAGCAACGGATTCTAAGTCAAACCGTGTTGACATATCTTGTTAGCAATGGTACCCCATCACAAGACTAATTTATTACGTCGACTTTAGCAGAAAACAAGGAACCATCATAGAAGCTGCTTGATCTATGATCGCTTGCCGTGTCCCGTAATTATACTCAGGTTGGTTTTGAAGCACCCTAATGCAACGTATTGATCTCACAGTTTGGATGATCCAATTCCAACCAAAGCCCATGTTCAGTATGCCGCGCGCCGCTCCCCGTTCTCTTTCTTTGCGCGCTCGCTTGATCTTGTTCTGCCTTGTCTGCTGTCCTTTCATTCCCTCTGTTGCTCCTCTGTCCTTCAATATAGACAGCTTCGACATGGATTTGAGCGACATATTGTACGAAGGAATCGCGGCGGCCACGTACAGATACGTCGATCTCACCACAGGCAATCCTCCGCATCGCTACCAGGTGGGCCGGATTAAGTATGCCAAGCCCGTCCACACATGGGATCCTCTCACGGGGGGCCGAGCGGACTTCTCAACCCGTTTCTCGTTCACCATCGACACTGACGGCTCTGCACAGTACAACGATGGCCTGGCCTTTTTCCTCGCTCCTGTCGGGACCCCGATCCCCCCCAACTCGGCCGGTGGATTCCTGGGATTGTTCAACGCTAGCACGGCTAATGAGGGGCCTCGGAACCGCATCGTCATGGTCGAGTTCGACACTTTTGTGAACCCGGAGTTCGATCCCCCCATGCATCACATAGGAATCAATAAGAACTGGCTCTCGTCCCTCGTTTCTAAGGCCTGGAATCATCAATGAGTATAAAATACTTTCCCGCTGGAGTCATCAATGAACATAACATAGTAGCATGAGCGCCCAAGAGAATGCATAGGGCCTGTCCCCCAAACATTTATATACACCAACTCTAACTTTCTTTTATTTGGTTCTCTCCCGATATTTGAAAAACTGACATGTTTCTGCTTACCCAGAACGCAATCCACACATAAGCCATTATCTATGGGCTTCAGATCAAGCAGCTTTCCCTTTGATGCTGACACCTTCCTCCCCTTTTGGCTCATGGGTCCAAGCCTACGGTGTCACATTTTGGAATCAGCTTCCGAATCAACAACTGCTACTGTTTCTCTACCACTTTCAGTTATATATAGTGTTCCCAACTTTGTTCCCCGTGCTACGACCATAGCAACTTTAACAATCTTCCATGAGCAGTACCCAAAAATAGTTATGTATCCGATGTCTAATTGATCAATAGAGATTAGATTTTTCTTAAAGCTAGGAACATATTTGACATCATGCAACTTCCATTGAAACCCATTGATAATCTTTATGTGAACATCACCCTTCCCCATAATATCCAAATGATCATCATCAATTAGACAACCCTTTCCAAACTTTCTAGCTACATAATTATACATTAATTCCCTGCATGGAGTTGAGTGAAATGATGCACTTGAGTTTATAATTCAAGACTTGACCAAACTATCAATGCCCAAAATTAAGGCATTATTGACAAGCATCTTCTCAAAGATTGCATTTATAGATTTGTCATTCTCTCTATTCCGATCTCGATACTAAATTTTCTTCTTTAGGGCTCTACAATCTCGTCTTAGATGGCATTTCTTTTCACAATTTTAGCAAATTATTTCACCACAAGATCTCGATTTGCTTCTCCCTTTGGACTTCGATTTACCACAATTTTGTTTTTGACTTCATTGACTGCTTCTCTCTCCGCATTCACTATTCAAGGCAATACCCGAAGATTCACCCGACTCTCTTCTACGAATATCCCCACAAAGAATCAAATCTTGGATCTCTTGAAACTTCAACTTCTTCTAACTAGATTCACTGTTCCTGCAGTCACTTGCACACCAACTTTAAATCAAAACTTTTACCTCGCCATCAAATTTCCACCAAACTCAACTGAGTCGTGATCACGCTGAATTTGTTGATGTGATTTGTCACAAAAGTTCCTTTGTCCATCTTCATATTGAAAAGGCGACGCATAAGATATACCTTGTTTGACGTAAAAGGCTTCTCCTACATGTTGGGCAAAGCCCTCATCAAATTCGCCGTTGTCTTCTCATTAGCAATGTTGAAGGCAACGTTCTGCTTCGATGTGAGACAAATCAAACCGAGGCTTGCGATCTAACAATTTCCAATTTTCTTGCTTGATCGAATTTGGTACTTTCTCGACAGAGGCTGATGTAGGCTCTTCTGAAGCAAAAGATCATCGATCTGCATCTTCTAGAAACTAAAATCCTTGCCGTTAAACTAGTCAATCTTCACCTTCCCTTCGTTTATCTTCACGCTCCCACTATTCCGTTAAACCAACCTCTGATATTAGTTGTTAGGAGCACAAAACGTTAAAAAGAAAAAAATAGAGAAAA